CCCCCCGCCTCGGCCGGGCGCCTGTATTTGGTAGGAAGCTGCGTGGCCGGCGCCTGCCCCCGTCCCGGGGGGGGGTCAGTCCGCGGCGGGGTAGCCCCTAGTCCCCGGGGGGCATGATGCCGGGGGTGGGCAGCGGGGGGGGCCCCGCTTCAGCCCCGTGGACCCGTTGGTGATCCTTGAGGGATTCCTTGTAGCGGAAGCTGCGGCCGCAGGCCGGGCACTGGTAGGGCCGCTCGCCGGTGTGGATGCGCTGGTGCTTGAGCAGGTTCTGCTTGCGGATGAAGCTCTTGCCGCAGGCGGCACAGGCGAAGGGCCGCTCGCCCGTGTGCAGCCGCTGGTGGTTCTGCAGGTGCTCCTTGCGGCTGTAGCACTTGCCGCACTCGGCGCACTTGTAGGGCCGCTCGCCGCGGTGGATCATCTGGTGCCGCACCAGCCCCGAGTGGCAGTTGAAGCTCTTGCCGCACTCGGCGCAAGGGTAGGGGCGCTCGGCCGCGTGGCTCCGCTGGTGGATCCGCAGGCTCTTCTTCCCGCTGAAGCTCTTCCCGCACTCGGCGCAGCCATGCGGCCGCTCCTCGGCTGGTCCCGGCGTCACGGTGGGGACCCCCGCCGCCTCGGCCCCCGGCCCCGGCTCTGAGCCTGGAGCTTTGCCCAGTCTGTGCTGTGCCGGCAGAGCCACCGCCGCTGCCGCCGCCGTCACCGCTGCCTGTCCCTCGGGGTTCCCGAAGCCTGCGCCGGGGAAGAGCAGCTCCCCGGAGCCGCCCGGCAAGCCCACCTCTTCTGGGGGCTCGGCGTGGGGGCACCGCTCCTCCGTCTTCACTAGCAGCCCCTCGCCAGCTACAGGGGAGGGAAAAGCTCTGGTCAGTGCCTGCCCGCAACACCGGGGATGTCCCCGAGCCACAGTCTAGCCTGCGTGGGTGCTCCCCCCACCAGCCCCATGGGGCCAGGCTCAGCATCGCTCACCAGGACCGGGACCCGTCAGCATCTCCCTCTCCGGCAGCTCCCAGGGCTCGCGGACGCAGGGTTCTTCCTCCTGCTTGATCCACGACAAGAAGTCGTGTGCTGTGATCAGGGCGTCTGCGCCTGCGGGGAAGGATGGGGACTCAGCCGAGCGGGGCCGCATCCTGCACTCCAAAAGCAGCGGCTGCTGCTGGTGTCAGGCAGCCGGTGGGTGCACGGCACAGCTCACCTGCACAGGGGTCCGCCGGCATCCCTCGCTCCTCTGCGAATTGCTGCTCCCCCACGAAGGCCACCTCCTGCTTGATCCGGGACAGGATGTCGGAGGTGGAGATCAGCGACTCTGTTCACAAGGAGAGACTTGGCCGGCGCCAGGATGCGGCCGCCCAACGTGACCCACGGCCAACGCGCCTCGGGGTATGGGACCCCTGGGCTCCAGCCGTGCAGGATGCCCCCGTCCCACAGCAGTTATGGGGCATCAAACACCCCCGGGGGAGCTGTGGGCACGGGTGACCACGGCACAGCCCTTGGGGATAGGTGACCGCGGCACAGCTCATGGGGTGGGTGACCCTGGGAAAGCCCATGGGGACGTGTGACAGCAGGACAGCCCATGGGGATGGGTGACTGTGGCACAACACATGGGGACAGATGACCACGGCACAGCCCATGGGCTCTGACACATGGCGGTGGTGGGGGACACACGGATCTCCCAGCGACGGATGCCCAAGACCCCTGGCACATCACATCATGAGGGATTTTCCGGGATCACTCGCGGTGGCCCCTGGCTGTACAGTGGCGAGCAGTCTGGCCACGGCTGGAAAACTGGGCCCTGGGGGGCTGGGACGTCCCTGGGACGAGCAGCGGGGTGGGGGAAACACGAGGTGGAAGGCAGCAGGGATGGGGGGACCCAGCACTGCCCTGGCTCCTGGCCGGTGCCTCACCCGCACAGGCGTCCGGCGGCAGCTCCCTCTGCTCCAGCTCCCTCTGCTCGGGGACGCAGGGTCCCTCCCCGCGCTCGCTGCGGGGCTGCATCTCGCTTCTGGAGAGGGCACCATCTGCATGGGGAGACAGTGTGGCTGGCACCGGCGGCGGGGCTGTGCCCGCCCAACCCTCACCATCGCCAAGAGGTGGGGGGGACGCATGGGGGATGCACAGGGCTGCCAGGCACTGGCATCTCTCCTGGCAGAGAACCTGCCTAAATTTGGCAGGACGTCCGTGCCGGGAGGCCCGTGCAGCGTAGATGCTCAGGCCCTCAATTTTGGGGGATGAAGACCCGCTCCAGCTACCTGTCTGCCCCACGCGGCAGCACCGGCACGGCACAACACATCATCCCATCCCCACGCACACAGCACAAGCCACAGAGGGTTCCCTCCGAAACAGGAGGTCCCAAAGCCATGGCGTGTGCCACCACCGACCGCTTGCGGGCGACAAGGGCACCCACGCCTGGGACCCTCCAGGGAGACACAGCCATCACCCCAGCGTGCTGGGAAAGGGGCGAAAAGGGATGTTTACCCAGGGAGATCAAAGACTCATAGTTCTCCTTCACCAGGTTATTGTACAGCTCTTTCTGCCACTCCTCCAAATTCTTCCACTCCTCCGCCGAGAAGTAGACGGCAATGTCAACAAACGTCACCGGCACCTGCAGCGACAAGCCCCCGGCAGCTCAGCGGCACCCGCTCCCCAGGGGAGCCGAGGGTCCCCCCACCCGGCCCACAGCCCCCCCCCAGGAGCCATTACCTTGGGGACCTCGCCCCGGGGGCCGGGGGGCAGCCGCAGCACCCAGAAATTCCTGTTCTTCAGCAGGTTCTCCACATTCTCCAGGCGCCGCTGGAGCAGCCCGTACTCCTGGATGAGGGTGCCCAGCACAGCCCATTTGCTCTCCAGCTGGTTCCCAAACTCCATGGTCGTCTTCTCGCAGTCCAGAAGCTTCTTCTCAGCCGTGCCGGACCGACCCTCCAGGCTGAGCAGGCGGGTGGCGAGGAGGTCGATCTTCCTCTCCATCGCCTGCACCGTGGCCACCACGGTCCAGAGCGAGGCCTCGGCGGAGTGGAGCTGCGCCTCCCGCACGTGCGCCCGTTCCGGCAGCAGCGGTGGCTGCAGCGGCATCAGGTGGGGGGCCTCCACGTTCCACTCCTGCACCTGGGCCGTGGGAAGGGTGCGGGTGGGAGGGGGCCCACGGTCACCCCCACCCTGGGTCGTGCCCAGAGCCCCTGGCCCTGCAGCAGGCACCGCTCCCCCTCCGTTTTGGGGGCTTTTGGCCGCCAGTGCCCACCACCACCACCAGCACCGTGCCGAGGAACCCCCCCGCATGTGATGCCCACCGCCACCCTCGCCCTGCCTGCCCAGGCTGTGGGAAGGGCCCTCCCTACCCCGGGCACCTTTGGGGTCCTGCCTGACAGCCGCCGCTATGCCCACCCCCTGCTAACGACTCGGCTGGGCAGGATTTGGCCCCCGGAGCGGTCGGTGCTGCCCAGGCAAGGAAGGAGCTGCTGGGGCCCGCTCCGAGTTCCAGGAGGGGACAGGGCAGACAGATGCAGCAGGCCTGAGGGGACGGCGAGGGGCAGGCGAGGCGGTGGGCAGGATGCATCCCGCTCAGCCGGTGGGTTGGGGAGGCATTTCGGTGCAGCCGTGGGGTCAGCGGCCGGTCACTGTCCCCGTGGGACACCGGCCAGCGCCAAGCAGGTCACCCTGCTGTGCGGGCAGCTGCCAGACCCGCAGGGCAGCGACCCCCCACCCTGGCACCCCATACCCCCACCCCTTGCGGGGGCTTCCCCGGGGCCTGCCCAGGCAGGGAACCCCCGAACCGGGAGGAGGATGGGGACGGGTGGGCAGGGAGCAGCCGGGGGTGGGGGGGGCACGGGGCAGCCCGGGGACACCCCGGGGACACACGGGCATCCCCGGTCGGAGGCGCCGCGGGCATCCCGGGGCTGGAGCCTGCACGGAGCATCCCGGGAGCACGGGGACATCCCGGGTCGGAAAGCGCCCGGGGACATCCCGGGGGCATCCCGGGTCAGCGGTGCCCAGCCGCCGTGCGGGGGACGGGGGGGGACGTCCCGGGGGCCCCGGGGGCATCCCGGGTCGGGCC